TCTGTTACTATTCTCCAAGGAATTGATACTAATATGTAAATTAGAATTATTTGGGATCTACCAACTTTCAACCTAGCCAACAACAGAAAAGTTAGCCTCAAACATTTTTTTAAAGTGCATTTTAGCTTATTTCCCTGGCAAGGCTTAACTCCAGAAATGGCACTTCCCAGCTAAAAGGTAAAAATTCACATTTAGGCTTACCAAATTTATGACCATACTGCAGTCTCAGTGCACGTCTTCATTGAGAATAAAGAAACATTCAGGTTTAGGGCAACTTCATTCACCTTATATACACCATGTCAGAAAAAAAAAGGTGGTCAAGAAGAAACTAGGGATTGGAGTGCTGCACACATTTGTTCAAATGTCTGGGACTGAGTTGGAAAGCATATTATTCCTGGATTGCAGTGCCTGCTTCCTGGCAAAGTTAATGGTGTTAATTTGTAAAGGTTCATTTGGGAAATGTTTGTGATTAATGCTTGCTCATTTACATAACACTGTATTGTGTAAATAAAGCTGTATCCTTCTGCTTTTCAACAGTGGAGTTCTACTGAGATGATAAAAGCTGGACAAAGGGGGCTACAGAACACTTAAACTAGGTCACATTGAATTTTAATGCATGAGGCCTACCCTGGTACATTTTATATGGGTAATGAAGAACTGCAAAATGCAGTCTGTTTACTGTGCAAATCTGCCTTCCAGATTTTTCAATAAACATATTTTCTATACTGAAAGAGTGAAGCCAATTCAGTCTCAGGCTGATTTAGAAATGTTATTAAAAAAATAAGGATGAGCATCTTCTTAATTCTTACATTAAAATGTAAATAGGGTAATTATAAAATAATAAACTCTCCCCCAAATAAAAAATGCTCAGTTTCTGAGCTCAGTTATGCAGATTATAGCACCATTACTAAACACTGCGAACATGTATATGTCACATTTGTGAATTTGCCATCCAGACTTTGTGGCTTTACTGCCCAGAGTCTAAGAATGACTCAGAAATTTAATTTCTTTCTTTATTATCAACGGAGTTTTTGAGCAGTGAGGAGGAAGCTGGTGGCCAGATGCTTATGTGTGCACATTTGTCCATGTCCCTGTTAGTCAATACAAAGAAAATGGCTAGCATTGAATGGTGCTCAAGTCAAAGGTGAAACCTACTCCCACAGCAATTCTTGGGTGTAGAAAGAAAATTCTCATGCTCCTTCCCAACCAACCCATGACACAAATACAAAACAATTCGTAGTCATTCTTTGTGTCTTAGCTGTTCCACTTATAAGATGGAGGTGTTTATATTCTGTCACCCTAAGAGAGATTTTTAATTATAGAGCTTGAATGATCCTCCCAATGATCATGTAGTCCATTTTAGGTTGTATTACAGAAGAGGTAACTGAGGCCCACAGTAATGAAGTGATTTATCAAGTTCAGAATTAGGACTTAAATCCAGGTTGAAGGACTCTTAATCCAGTGTTCTACCTCATACTACCTCTCAAAGTATGGAATAATGAAAATATAGAGTAGAAGATCTGGAACTTGTTCTGAGAGGCTCTAAATGAGGACAAACCTTAAACATTTTTAAACATTTTCATTCATACCATTTGCTAGTAAAAGTTGCTGCTGGACTCTGGAGACTAGTAAAGTGCTTGTCAGATAGTAGAAGCTCAATAAATGCTCAGAAAATAAGTAAAGTTATGCGAGGCAATATAACAGGAAGAACTGTGGATTTAAAGGCAAGAGACCCATATTTATGTGCTGTTATTTATAGACTATGAAAATATGTGAGAGACCAAAAGATTAGAAACAACCAACTGTCGACCTAAAAGGAACTAATTATATTAATATGGAATGTCTATACATAGACTATGGTATTAGTTTTCTATTGCTTTCATAGCAAATTATCATAAACTTAGTGGCTTAAAACAACACAAATGTATTATCTTATAATTCTGGAGATCAGAAGTCTGGCATGAGTCTCACTGGGTAAAATTGATGTGTCGGCAGAATTGAGTTTCCTTCTGGAGGCCATAGGGGAAAATACAATTTCCTTGCCTTTTCTAGCTTCTAGAGGTTGCCTACATTCCTTGGTTTGTGGTCCCTTCCTCTACCCTCAAAGCCAGCAATGGGCAGTAAAGTCTTTCATACATCACTCTGTCTCCTCTGCCTCCCTCTTTTACTTTTAAGGAGTCTTATGATTACATTGGGCCCACAGGATAATCCAGGATAATATTTTTATCTTGAGATCATCTGATGAGCATCCTTAATTCCATCTGCTACCTTAACTCTCCTTTGCCGTGTATATTAACGGGTTCCAGAGATCAGGTCATGGACATCTTTGCCTATCACATCTGTGAAAGGAGTAAGGGAGACTGGGCACAGGTTCATGCCTGTAATCCCAGCACTTTTGGAGGCCAAGGCTGGAGGATTGCTGGAGATCAGGAGTTCAAGGCCAGCCTGATCAACATAGGGAGATACTGTCTCTACAAAAAATAGAAAAATTAGCCAGGTATGGTGATGCACTAGTGCACCTCTAGTCTGAGATACTTGGAAGGCTGAGGCAGAAGGATCACTTGGGCCGAGGAATTTGAGGTTGCAGTGAGCTATGATGGTATCACAGCATTCTAGCCCAGGCAACAAAGCAAGACCCAGTCTCAAAAAAATAAAAAAACAAAACAAAAAAAGAACAAGGGAGCTCTTTATGTTCTGACAGAGAAAATTCTCCAGGATACATTGTTATATAAAAAATTCAAGGCAAAGAAAAGTATAAATAGTATGCTACATTTTATGTAGAAAAGGGAGGAAATATCAATATATATTCATGGTTATATTTGTATAAACAAACCCTGGAAATATATGCAAAAAATATAAAAGTGGTCATAAATAAAGAACAACATGGAGGGTGGGAAGAAGGGGAATGGTATAGATTTTTTAATGTATTTTTTAAAATTACTATGATCTTGAACCATGTAAATATATGTGTTTTTTAAATTCAGGACTGATAATTGTCCCAAAGCCCCCATTATTCACTGCATATTCAAAACCTTTTGTTTTGAATCATCAACTTTGTTAATTTTCTCTTTTTAAATTAACTCTTCTAACAGGCAAATATTCATTTGTCAGCAACTTTATATTAAGCAGTCTCTGACATTACCTTCATGGACTTCATGAAATGCTGCATCTTTTGCAACATTTTTGAAATTCCACTTTGAAATCTATATTGTATTGTGAAATGTTTTTATCATCTGTCATTGCTGCAGTGACAGTATTAGTGATAAAGATGGAGCATGTCTTCAGGTGGGAATTCATTTTGTAAGTGGGCAGGTAAGTAGTGAACATTTTCATTTTATATTCATAAAATTATAGACTTTAATTTCCCAAATAAGTGTAGAAAGTTGAATAATAACCATGCAAAACTGTTAAATTTACTTGGATCTGTTTCAGGATTTGTTATTCTGTCCATTCTTACAAAAGTCCTTTATTTTACATTTAATCTAGTAGTCATATTGTGGTTTAATAGATTTAGTGGTTACATCTCTATCATAAATGTGTCTTCTAATTATAAAATATTTTGTGGCTCAAAACTAAATAAGTGATTTTTTTCTAGTCAGGTTTACTAAAGTATACTTTACATATAGTAGAATTCCTTTTTTAGGTATTCAGTTTTATGAGTTTTGAAAAACAAAGACAGTTGTATAACTACCGCAACAATGAAAATACAGAATATTTTCAAAAGAGTATATTAGCAAAACATCATCTAAATGGTATATGCAAACATGAATACTTGTTATTTTAGTATTTTGAGAAAACATTAATCCTTAACATATTCTTGAGAAATGGCTTCTGGGGTAAAGCAACTCAGGAAATATCAGATATCCTTCAGATTCTGATTTACATTGGTCATTGGCTTTACTTGGTAACTGAGCATTGCAAATATTCTAATATCATTTATTTTGCTCTCCTGTTATTTTATTTATACATTTTAAAATCTGCTTTCATAAAAGAGATTGATTTGTTCCCTTTATTTGTTATCTTTTATTAGCAGGATGCTTATGCTGACCAGATAAAATAATTTATGAAGCTTTCCCTGTATGTTCATGTTCTGGGAAAACATAAATCACATAGTAAATTAATTATTCTCTCAGGTATTTAACAAAATTTGGCGCCCACATAAAATGTAACACTTGATATCAAGAGTAATAACAATGGTTTTCTTCAGCATTCATTGCATTTTAATTTTTTAAAATACTTTCATATCATTTTCAAACCTTTTTTTATATTTTCTACTATTCAAATATTTTTGAAAAGTAAATATAATTGGTACAATTAAGTATAAAATGGTACAGGTGAGGTTGATTACTTTCATAGAGAAATTCTTTTTTTTTTTTTTATTTTGAGATACCGTTTCATTCTGTCTTCCAGGATAGAGTGTAGTGGCATCATCATAGCTCACTGCAGCCTCAAACTCCTGGGCTCAAGCAATCCTCCCATCTTAGCCTTCCAAGCAGCTAGGACTATAGGTATGTGCCACCACACCTGGCTAATTTTTAAAAAGTTTTTATAGTCATGGGGTCTCATTTTGTTGCCCCATCTGACCTCAATCAATCCTCCTGCCTTGGCCTCTCCAAGTGCTGGGATTGAAGGCATGAGCCACTGTGTGAGGGATTAATTTTTTATATTAACCACTTTCTGTTACCCTCTACTGGTTTTAAAATATGTATTACTTTTTAATGTTGTATCATTACTTTACATTTTTTTCCAAATATTTCAATCCAAGGGTGATTGAATCTGTGGATATGAAACTCATGGATATGGAGGGCTGACTGTACTCTATTGCTTAAATTTTAAACATTGAGCCCAAATCCCTTGGAAAATTAATACACTGAAATAAGTGGGGCTACCAATAGCTGTGGCTGCTACAGAGTATGTAAATATGAAGAGATGTACATATTCAGACCAATCACACTTTCAGCTTGACAAACTACAGAGAGCAATGAAAAGGTGATACTCACATCTGAGTTAAAGCGAAGCTGACAGACATTACAAGAAATAACTTGTTTCTTCTTTGGGGGAATGGACACTCCAAATGTGTGGTTAATGACTGCTTTTTGCACAGGATCCATCTGAAGAGCAAATGATAAAATAGTCAATTTACAACTTCAAAGGATAGACAATAGTGTGAGCAAATAAAAGTAGCTATATTATTACTTAAGGTTTTAACTTTCAGTTAAACAAGGATAATAAAGAATTTCACTCAACAGTAATATGTCTCCAGAAGTTAAAAAAAAAAACAAATGACAAAAACAGAAACAAAATACTGGTTTGAATTCATATCACAAAAAACACCACAGGAGAATCACCACATTCCAAGAAATCTCATATCCATAAAAGGAGCTTTGAAAAACCTTAAAAGAATCATAAAACAAGAAAACTGAAGATCCAAAGGTCAAGGTTAAAATTAACTTAATGTTGTCTCTGTATGAGGCAGTAATACTTGAGATGATCTCAAATGACCTTCATGACAATTATTACAGATATATTTGTTTCTTAATTTTTAATTTATGGCAAAGTCATAAATGACAGGCTCTTATCACAGCATATAAAACACTGATCTTTATCTTAAAATAATTTATTAACTTTCATGCACTATAGATTGAAATTCATTCTCTGAAAATGCATGTCACAGTTGTACACTTAAATGCCTAAAACACATTGGTTAATATGCAACCCTTGTTTAAATATTGATAAAGTTAAGTTTTGATTTACAGTCTGTGAATTTCCCCTTTTTGGCTTGCATATATCATACATATTCAGAGAAATACACAGAGATAAAAGTACTCAAACAGAAAAAGTACAGTACAAAGCCATTAGAACACCCAGGAAAAGAAACACCTCTATCTGTAGAGCCTATGAAAAGAAATACAGCAGTGATTCTCTTGTGCACTTCAGATAATCATCTCCAGCATTAACATCAGACCAGAGGCAGTTCAAAAAACAATGCAGATGATGAAAAAAGCATTACTTATAAACAGATGTAACATGAATGAGGAGAGATCCACTGACACCATCATCTAGGAAATCTCCTGAGGTTAGAGATTAAGATTGGATTAGTTGATATTTGATAGAGAGGAGAAATGAATACTATCTCTAATCATGACTATAAATCAACAAAATGCAAAATTAGCAATTAGAAGAACTTAAATACATTAGCAAAGAGGGTGGATTGAAGAGTCATTGGATAATAAACGAGCCAATTTTTTTGCTGCAAGCTAAGATAGCAGAACAATGTATTCCTACTATTAAGAACAGTTATAATGGTTTGGGACACTTAAAAATGTGAAGAGGGAGATTTTTGCAGTGATAAAACTATCCTTCATCCTAACTGTAGTGCTGGTCATGCAAATCTATACAGATGTTAAAAATCATAGAACTATACACACCCTCCCAAAGTAAATTTATGTATGATAATTTAATAAGTAAAAAAGAAAAAATGTTAAGAGTACTGTTTACCAAACATAAAGTATTATTACTGAAAAATCTGGGGATTCATTTTTTCAAGGTCATAATTGATTGTATTATATTTTATTTAATGAGAATAAAAATAACAAAAAATCTTTCATGAGACAAAGACAATCTCAAAAACTCAGAAAATAAAATCCTAGTTAATTTTCTTATTTTATCCACAAATGCACATAGTTAAATCTATCCAACCATTTGAAAAATATGAAACTATACTTCCTAATAGTTTCCAAAGATGGCAAATCAATTCAGACAGGTTAAAAAATAAAATAGCCTCACTATGTTGGCAGGATGCAAAAACTATTCTGTTGTGTAAAGTTAAAAAACAAGAGCATTTTATTGAGATAATTTCTGTTCACACGCTCTGAAAAATATTACCCATCTGGTGATGTGTGAACTACATGGGATGAAACTATATGAATATTTCCCAAACACCAATTTTCAGCATACCACTTTCGTTATTTTTGCCATGCCCACACACTGACATTTTTTCTTTAAATATGATTTAAATTAAAATAGACTTCTATATCACATAAACAATAATAGTCATGAAATCATAGTTTTAATGTACACTTTCCTATTACTGCTTTCAAGAAATATATTGAAAATTAACATTAAAAATTAAAATTTTCATCACTTAAAATAAATGCACATATCCTACTTGTTCCCATACAATATAGAAACACAGACAAAAGATAGGTCTACAAGAATTGAGTCCAAAATTTTTAGTAAACCATGATATCTATTGACAACTTCAACAAGATCTTTGGATGTATGTTCCCTTTAAATTATTGAAATTGTTAGTTGTCTAACAGCTTTATTTTATTCAAATCTCACATTTGTATCACATCAGCTCGAAAATACGCCATCATGTTCCAGAGGTTGAGAGCTCTCTGTCCTGAAAGGTGAGTTGTAGCTGAGCACTCCAAATACAAACGCATGCAAGTTCCCAACCATCTGCTCTCCAAAAAACAAGCTAAGGAAGTTCCTTCAGAAACTCTCTCTAGAATTGGGTTCTCTAGTTTATATACATAATTCTAATTTCTCTCATAAAATCAAATACACACAGACCTTTTACCCCTTCTTTGCTACATTAACTCTTGCTGCTTTTCATCCTTTGAATGACTTATCACTAATCATATCAAAATTTTATCCTCATGTTTCTCACTTGGAACAGATTTTCTTTATTTTCCTCTTGATTCTCTATTTCCTTATAGGTTTGGGGAAAATATACACTTTTTATTCTGGTCTAAATCTCTTTTCTCTTCTTCTGTTGTTTATCAAAAAATTCTATTAATATTTTTACATTCAAATGTCATTTGGGGGGGACATGATTTAGATGAAAGAAGACTTTAAATGATATAAAAGAGAATATTCCATTCGCCAATTTATCTGATATTTTAAACACTTGTCAAGTTGATGTTTTGTTTTAGTGTTTGCCATCTGATGCAATAACTATAAATACCTGAGTCATTTTAGTGGGATCCAGATGTGACAGCAACAGAGAAGGTTTTCAGATACTTTTTTTTTTTTTTAAATTACAAACTGATAAAACTCTAAATTTTTTCTTGATGGTCTCTGTGGTGCAATGGATAGCACATTAGACTTCTTCTAAATTTTTCTTAGCATTCGTACAGTACTCCAAAAGTTAGATAAAATAACTATGATATTAATTGATATTAACTTAAATTTTTCCCTCCACTGTTTCAATGTCAGTTCTCTGTAATCATAATGAAGTGTGTATAACTAAATCATTAGTAACTATTTTATTCAATCACCAATTTTCAGGATGAATAAAACATTCAGGATGAATACAAACATTCCCACAAATCCTAAAATGTGATAAATGCAAGTGATTCAATTTATTATAGTCAAAGCTATGTATCTATATCATAATGATCTCATGTGTAGAATACTCAGGTAAATTATTGGAGGTATTGCAATTGCACAGTGAATTCTCATTTTTAAAGATTTAACTGGCATTTCATAGATTGTTAAATTGTTTGATTGATTGTTAAAATGAATAAGTGCTTTCAAAAATATTTATTAAAATGCTTATAATATATAACATTTAAATGAACAAATTTCTCATTAAATAATCATATTAAATTAGTTTATGTTAGTTCACACTGCAAAGAACTGCTGATTGAGAAAATTATGATTTATCAGGAAATACTATTAAAGAAGCTTTTTTTTAAGGCAAAAAAAAAACAAAAAAAAAAAACCCTACTACATAGCTCTAGCTACCAATACTCCTTACCTGGCTGAATTTATTGGTCCCAAATATGCCTCTTCTTTTCTAAAAAAGTAAAAGTTAGAAGTAATCATCTGGAATTTTGAGGCTAGCAAGCACAATTACATAAATATTTTTTAAAAATCTATTTTCCTTGTTCTTCTTTGAGTACAAAGCCTGAAGAAGAGTTAACACTTGCCACCTTTTCTAATGAAAACCATGCAGAAATGAAAACCAAAACCTATTAGTGCAATTAACTGGTAGCTAATAAAAATGAAAGATGAGGTTGTGGCTGTTACCAGGAATTGAGGAGGTAATTGGAGGCCATGTATGGACAAATTAACTATTATATTATAGTATTTAGAAAATGAATTAATGAAGCTGGCCTTATCACACCATCTATCATATTTTCAATATCAAAATAAGAACAAACAGATTTCTTTGTGTATTCACCAAGATTATGGGGACTACAAACTGGTGTGAATTTTTTAAAAGATCATTACTTTCACTGGGTATACCAAAAAGTAATTTACTTCTGCACGGTATAAGCAATAATATAAAAATACGCAGCTGCAAATAAAATCTAGACACAGAGAAAAAACAAACTGCAGTGCTGCACTAAAGGTAGGATGAATCTAAGATGGGGCTATGTGATCAAGGGACTTGACATATTACTAGATTATATTTAGACTCTAGATAATTTTGCTAGGTGGGACTTTAGGCAGAAAAAAACGGAATTACAAACTTGCTAAATATCCCAACACCTTTCAAGAGGGCTGAAATTTGAGTTTTATCTTTGTAAGAGTCTTAAAATGATTTAACTAGCCACCTAGTAAGCTTGAAAATGGGAGTGAACTGGGCACTGCCCCATTAAAAAGCAAAAAAAGATAGGAAAATCTCACTTTAAACTTGAGGATCTATTTTAACCAATGTTCTAAAAAGCATTCAGTAAGCACTCATCCCTTATGCAATACGGGAGGCCCTGCTAGCTTTTCTACTAAACAGAAGTAGAAATCAGATTTTTGACTTTTAAAATTTCAAGCAAACATTTCTGGAGGCCTGATATGTTTCAAAGACGCTGTCTCAAACTGGATAGGGACATGAATCAAACACGAGAAAGGGGATAATTTTAAAAGTTAAAAAGTGAAAAAAAGTAGCACAAACTATTTAATTGAGGGCTGGGGAAATAAGTTGTCATTAAGCAAAATAATGAGGTATGAGAGCCACGAAAAGATCTGTCTCCTCTGCCCCACCACTACTTTGCGTTTTTTTTCCCTTTTCGGATTTTCTGATACTTTAAGCATCTAGGATCCTCCCTTTAACAGTGACACCAATGTGTTATCCTCCCAGGATATCTTTTTAATTCTTTTTTTCTAGCTGTGTAATAACAATAATAACATCACAGTAAGAGCAGCTTTTATTTACGGAGCTCTTACTTGTGCAGTGGGATGTATACAAAGGGATTATCTCATGTAGTCTTCACGAGCACCACATGAGGCAGGTACTGTTATTATTCTTTTACAGATGAGGAATCCAAGGCTTTGAGAGGTTCAATAATTTATCACCCTCAAGTTTGTAGATGTTGGAGCCAGGATTCAAACTCAGGTAGGAATCTCTCTGCATGCTGTTCCCTGCTGCAGAACACTGCAGGAATGATGAGTGTCGTGCATGGCCCTGCTATAGGATATGGGCTTTGGGAAGAATGTGTGGGTGTTCCTAGAACTTCTATAGCCTGGAAGGTAGCTGCCTACATAAACTATAGATAAGGCCCCTTTGGTGCTTAAGTAAAAGTTTCCTGGAGAAGTGGGTCTGGTTTTTCTCTTTCTGACCCATTTCTGATATTCTTAGGATAAGCTCATTTCATCTTGTGCCATAAATAAAATTTGGGCTGTCCTTTCCTTTTTCCCCATTATAACTGTTGGGTTTGCACACAGAAAAAAATGTTCTGGGGCTAGAGATTACATGTTAGCAGGCGGCAGTCATCATTTGCACCTGTCCTTGATTTGCTGCAAAGAGGACCTTAGCTACTAAACCTTTGAGACTTAGGGCTTTCTGAAAGTTTGGCTAGGCATCAACTTTTTAACTGTGATGTTATTGAATTACAATAGTATAACAAGAATAACTTTTTTATCCCTTCTTTTTTCAATATCAGACTTATAGAAAAGAATGTGGCAACAGGGTCTCATTAGGACTTCAAATATTCATGAAACAACACATTTAAAAGTGATAGCTGCATCACTGAAGAGCAATATTTCTCTAAAGTTACTTCAAACAAGGTTTTGCCTTTCGTATTTAAATACTCTGACCACATGCTTGTATGTTAATGTTTTACTTTTTTTTTAATTATTTTTTTTATTTTGGCATATTATGGGGGTACAGATTTTAAGGTTTCAACAAATGCCCATTTCCCCCCCCCAAAAGTCTGAGTCTCCATCATGACCATCCCCCAGATGGTGCACATCTCACTTAATGTTTTACTTTTTAAAAATCCTTGAAAACCTTAATGTTTCAATTAAATCCTTAATGTTTTACTTTTTAAAAATCCTTGAATAGAAACAAAACAGATATAAATATAACAAAGGCAAATTTTTTTCTCTCAAAGATCAAGAAATACAAACAATTGCATATTGTTGGCAATATTAGTTCAACCACAAAACTTTACTATTTTGGATTTCAAATCATAAATTTCAATAAAAATAAACCACATAGAACACTCTACTAGGAGTGCATGCTACCATGAGACCTGCATTTTTGTATCTGGAATATGTAAAAGCTGAGATGTGTCATGCTGACACTTTCTGTCCTGTCCAGGGCACCCAGACAGGGGTCCACCTGAATGCCATCAGTGCTGCTGAAAGGAAGACAAATGGCATGCCACTCTGTCCACGGACTGTTGATTAAACCAAGGGTCAAATGTTTGGAAAAGTGCTTCACTCTAAAATCCCCTGCTCTTTGCTGAAACCTCACACTGGCCATGGCTTGTAAAGGACATCAAGTGTACCCTTTTTCACTGGGATACAGTTATCCCAGCAGAAAGTTCACCAGCCATTCAGAATTGGCATAAAGGCTAAAATAACACAACCCATACCTCATAAACTGATAGACAGGTACCATTATATCTAAGACCCAGACTCAATAAAGCTATCATTATTATTATTGCTATTATTACTATTTTATCAAAATATTGTACATTTCTACATATTTTGAGGCAGGTTGACAATTGGCCTCTAATTGCTGCAGAAATTAAATGGGACTCCAGGATCTTACCTTTTCCCATTTTTTTCAGAGTCTCCCTAGTGGCAGTAAATATTCTCCATAGAAAATACAAGTGAAATCAGCCCAGAGATGAGGCAGGCTATCAGAGTAGACTATAGATTAGCATTTCATTTTTTTTCTCTGCTTTTAAGAAAGTGAATTTAGAGAGCTTGATATATTTTGCTTAAATTCCATATTGTCAGGCCTCCTTTGAAAAGCTCTGGGATTCATCAAACTAGAGTTGTATATTCCATTGACAAAAAAGGATGACTAGAGTCAGGAAAAAAACATCCTGTGATCCATTTTGAAGATCCATTTTGAAAAGAAGACTAATGTCTGCATTTTTCAGTAGCTTTTCTGGAGAAATTCCATCTTGGTTTTATTTTGGGGAAGAATAAAAAGAAACATACAGAATTCAAACAGATTTGTGTTTCTTCCATAAAATAATGTCCTTCTTCTAGATAACTCTAACAGTGAAGGATGCCACCTTTTTAGAGGTTAAGGGTTTCATATTGACTTTAAATATACAGTTCTGTTCCTGGGAATTTTCGCTGTTTTCCAACACATCACATTTTTATAAGTGTATTATTTTCAATTTGTTTATATTTACCGTACTTTTCTGAAAAATTTATTCATTTAACAAAAGTTTATTAATTACCTATCATATGTCATTTTAGGAGCTGGACAGACAGTGACGAATAAGTCTTAAGATATCCAACATTCTAGTTGGGAAGACCTAAATATCTAAAGTAATAAATAAGATGATTTCAGAGTATTGTAAGTACCATGAAAAAAATCAAATAGGAGAATGGGAAAGAAACAATATTTGACCTACCACAGATAATTCCTAAAAACATTTTCATTGCCTTGATACCCACTGTGATTCAGATACTTTTACATGTAAAGCCATAGCTAATATGCAAAAAATCCTTTGCATGATTTAGACAAGTCGATCCAGAATCCAGAATCGTGCAATTGGTAAAAACTGTAGACAAAGAGCATGCTCCTCAGTTTTCAACATGGTCAGTGAGATGTCTGCAGAGGATTTTCTTCAACTACCAAGTACCAAGACAACAACTGATCTCAGAGTCACCACTAACAATATATGGCCAACAAGAAAGGGAAACTGAAATAATTTCCATTTTAGAAGTTTTCTAAGGATGAGTTTGCTAAATACTAGGCACAACCCATCTGTAGACCTTCCTAGTGGGTTTCTGTATAGCGTAATTGGCCTGAAACATGGTGAGCAAAGAGCAAAATGACCATGAATTATTTCTTTTGACTTTAAGATAAATACATATTTTGTCTAAGATCTAACAGTTGCTTGTGAAGATATTACAACAAAATGTTTTTCATCTTTTACACTTTTAAAACTTTAGAGTTGCCAAATGGTAAAAGCAAAAAAGCTAAAAGCAGATGGATGGTTTTATATGGTTGACAATGACATATTGTCAACCATATAAAACATATATATGGTTGACAATGAACTATATCCCACAAAGATAGATACCAACAAAACTGGTTAGAGTACACTATTCTAGAAAAAGGAACTGGATTTACCAAGAAAATCTAAATAAAATGGGCTGGGTTCTTCCTATTTTATTTATGTAATAGTATTGTGTCTCCTCAGGGTAAAATAAAACGAGACATTATTTCAAGAATATGGACTACAAAATGGTTTTTCAATAGATGTCTAAAATACTGAACAAAATAGAGACTCATTAGAGTATAGGTCATCAGAGGTGATTAGGTCACAGCTTATTTGAAGAAAAAGATCTATTCTGAAGTTTGCTAAGACAAGCCAAACATAT